ATAACACGCTATAAATCACAGTGATTCACACACTTTATTTACGGTGCATACTGTTCGCTTGACTAGATTATCTCTATCTTCAATTTCTGTATCTATGCAATTATTTGCCGGGCTTATATACTAAAGTAGAGGGCGTCCCAAAAAACTAGGAAATTCACGATCATTCAAGAAACTCCTCGCACACGCCTCCAGCGCCAATGCGCCAGCAGCGTCACGTGACTTCCGCTGTCGTAACATTATGTTATTGTTGTTTTTGCAAAATTATACTGAATGTAATTTCATGCAACATGTAGATTAATGATTTGTTACTCTTAGATTGCTGATTAGTTACATGTACAATAATGATTTGTTACATGTAGAATATTGATTAGTTACATTAAACAGGTTACATGTAGAATGATAATTTGTTACTCTTAGATTGCTGATTAGTTACATGTACAATAATGATTTGTTACATGTAGAATATTGATTAGTTACATTAAACAGACTACATGTAGAATGATGATTTGTTACATGTAGAATAATGATTAGTTACATTAAACAGGTTACATGTTTAATGAGGATTTGTTACATTAGACAGGTTACATGTACAGTAATGATTTGTTACATGTAGAATAATGATTAGTTACATTAAATAGGTTACATGTAAAATAATGATTAGTTACATTAGACAGGTTACATGTACAATAATGATTTGTTACATGTAGAATAATGATTAGTTACATTAGACAGGTTACATTTACAATAATGATTTGTTACATGTAGAATAATAATTAGTTACATTAGACAGGTTACATTTACAATAATGATTTGTTACATGTAGAATAACGATTAGTTACATTAGACAGGTTACATGTAGAATGATGATTAGTTGCATTAGACAGGTTACATGTACAGTAATGATTTTTTACAAGTAGAATAATGATTAGTTACATTAGACAGGTTACATGTACAGTAATGATTTGTTACATGTAGAATAATGATTAGTTGTAATAGACAAATTATATGTAGAATGATTATTAGTTGTAATAGACAAGTTACATGTAAAATATTATTAGTTGTAATAGACAAGTTATATGTAGAATGATTATTAGTTGTAATAGACAAGTTACATGTAAAATGATGATTAGTTGTTATAGACAAGTTACATGTAAAATGGTGATT